ATTATTATTAGCATATATATTTTAATTATTATTAGCATATTTGTACAATATATTTAGCGAAATGAAACTTCTTTGATACGGAAATTATTATTAGCATATTTGTACAATATATTTATATTATTAGCATATTTGTACAATATATTTAGCGAAATGAAACTTCTTTGATACGGAATATGATTTTAAAATCACCAGAAAAATATTACTTCTTCTCCCGTTACGAAGCTCTCGTTGTCAAGGGTGTCGCGGGTGAGTGGTTTGGGTAACTACACTGCCACCCTCTCGTATATTTTCATTATTTTTTGATTTAAAATATTGAATTTTAACTATGAAAAAGCTTAATGAGTTTTTTATGAGTATGCTAATTTTAAGTCTCAAGTCCCCATAGCACTACCCTAGTTGCACCTATATATATTTAGTTATATATTTCAATAAATAAATTCAACAACATTAAAACCGTGCTTATGGGAGGGAGAGGGGCACAATAATTAAATTTAATATTAATGATTGATAAGAAAAAAAGACGGTCATATTTCACACGGCGGGTGGTTTTTCAATGGAGAGAGAAGCTAAATATAAGTTTTTTGTCCAATTTTTAAGTTTTCACAAATATTTTTCCTGAATTACAATGAAACATAAATTATAAAGTAATAGAAACATTATTTTCGTAAATTTTCCCGTTTTTCTTGTGTTTTTTAACCCGGGTTTTCCTGACCCATAATATAGAAACTACTTGGAGAATCAAAAAAAGACCTTCCTAAAGTATCATCTAGTTAATATAATAATATTTCTTTTTAAAAAAGGTGATACTTTACATATTGAAGCAAGATTTCGGGCAGAAATTTTTATCACAGTTAAAAAAAAAAAAAATACTTCATTGTAAATCCATTCTTTGCTATATTTATACTAGGTTGCACCAACTATTGACATAGTGATAAACTCGTTTATCTGTAGTTAAACTAAATTCATTTTCCCGCGCGGGCAAGATTGTAATACTTTGTATTACAATATAATATAATACAAAGTACCTATTATGGGTTTAATATGTTTTTTTTGGAACTAGCGTGTGCGAACCACATAATATTTAGTAATATAACAAAGGTCTGTGTTGGGTTAATTTTTGTTAAACGGTTGCTGGACGTGCCATCAAACTGATATTATATAACATATAATACGCGATCTTTTTTTTTTCTCGACCGCTCACCGGGCTCACAAGAATATTAAATAAAAAACAATTTGGTGATTATGTTAAAAATATTATATTTTAAAATAAAAACATTTTTATTACATAATATTTATGGAAAATATTAAAACGTTAAGAGTTATTAACAAACCATTTTCTTAATGCATAAACTTTATAGAATGTACAATATTTAGGATTTAGGTTCATGTGAAAAATACAACACGGTAAATTGTCGTCGTCACATAATTGGTCTAGTCGCGGACAGTCCATATCTTCCATATTAGAGACGAAGACTTGTGGAATAAAATCTTGGATTAATTGTCGTTTTTGTTCTCCTTTAATGTAAATGTGATCGAACTTTAACGAATTTAAAATCCGACTGATTTCATCATAAGGAATATCGCCAAATTCTAAATACATTTGATGATAATTATGTTCAAGCCATTTATTAGTTCTGCGACTTTTTTCATCTTGAGCTGTCGCCGTATGTTTGAATATCCAATGTTGAGTTGCCCATGTATCTGTGTCGACAATTGACATTTCTTTTATTTGATATTTATTATCCGAACGTAATACACATTGAATATCTAAAATAGCGGAAGACATTGTTAAACACGTCTTTCTCACGCAATGGTTCTATTCGAACTGAATTTGGGTGGTAAGAGCACTTCAATATCGTGTAATCTGGAATCTAGTTTGTCGGCTAGTATACGTTGAACTGCATATTCTATGATACTTAATTTCTTTAAAAAATCAACATTCATCTGGTTTAATTTTTCATCTAGAATTTGTATTGCCTTATCGTGTTTATCCATACGCATATAAATTCTAATTACACTATCGTTAATTTCAGAATTTGTTTTCTCAAGATTCGAAATAATCCTATCTCTATCACCTTCCAGAGTACTTCCGAACACGTCTATGGCTATAGTATGACTGTTGTTATTTCCTGATCGAGTTCTCATTTATCCAACTATTATGACTATTATCGAAACCAAGCCATTTAACAAAAACTTTATCTCCTTTGGCACGAATCACTTTCTCGACTAAATAGTCGTTCGGGAACTCTGTTTTATTTAATTCTTCGTTATAAAAACATCCGGCGATTGGGTTCCCGGTATAGTCTTTTAACATATACGTGGTAGGTATATTATGAAAGTTAATTGTATAAAAGTAGATTGCAATTTGATTAAGGGCTCATTCTTTAACGGCTATCCGGGGCAGACTATACACGAATTTTTTCCGACCGTTCCGGCCGGTTTTAAAATTATAGAAATTCCTAGACACCCGGTATACTATGCATTGAATTACACGACAGTGAACGAGATTAATTTATCATTGTTAGATCAAGAAAATAATTTAATAAATTTACGAGGAGAACCAATCACAGTTCGTATTCAGATTAAAGAAGGCGATGGGGCTTAAATTCAACGTCCATATAAATAGGCGTGCAGCGGAAAAAGATAATAGTATAAAATCTACAGTACCAAAGTCAATACGTGCACCTCCACAAATGAATAAGAAAAAATCAAGAAAAAAAAATAAGAAGTCGACGAAAAATAATCTGACTTTTTTACATTCGATAAAAGCAATATAATAATGGATGAATCGTATTTGAACGTGAGAGAGGGTTATGTGGACGACTGTAGTATTACGGGTATGCAATATCATAGTTTTCTATCGTATTCATCCACCGCGATGTCTTGCAACGACGAGATTAAAATATCTATTCAAAATATGGATGCATACACTCTACCGTGCGAAAGCTATATTTTTATCGAGGGAAAAGTAATTAAACCTTCAACCCCCGGTCTTCTAAGATCGGTTAATTTTTCAAATAATGGTTTGGCGTTTCTGTTTTCTGAAATACGATATGAGGTAAATGGTACTGAAATACAAAAATTAAAAACCCCCGGCATAGCCTCTTGTCTAAAAAGTTACTGTTCGTATTCACACCGTGATTTATACGAACTACAAAACGCGTCATGGGATATCGATATGGACGTCAATCATAACAAAGAATTTATGCCTGGCGATAAATTTTCCGCCTGTTTACCATTAAAATGTTTGTTTGGTTTCTGTGAAGACTATAAAAAAATATTACTTAATTGTAACCAACAATTGATTTTAAATCGCGCGTCTACAGATCACGACGCGCTTCGTGTTACGGGCGGAGGTACTAATACTAATACTAATTTAAAAAAATTAAGTGTCGAGTTAAGTTAAGTACAGTGGAGAATGCCTATCGTTAAATTTAATGATATGGAGAAATTGAAACTTTTAAAAGTATTAGATTCTCGAAAACCGCTAACGTGCGCGTTCAGAACGTGGGACTTGTGTGAATATCCTGTTCTCCCCGAAAATACTACACACTCTTGGACTGTGAAATCCAGTAGTTTATTAGAAAAACCAAGATTCGCCATAATCGGTTTTCAAACCGATCGGAAAAACAACCTACAGAACCCGTCAGGACGATTCGATAACTGCTCGTTGAAAAACCTCAAAGTTCATTTAAACTCTGAAGTGTATCCGTATGAAGATTTTCGAGCAGATTTCTCCAACAGTTTAACAGCAATACTATACAAAATGTATACAGAATTTCGAAAATCGTACTACGATCTACCATATGGTGACCCGTTGCTGTCTAGAAAACAATTTAATACTTACGCTCCTTTAATTGCTGTTGAATTTCGTCAAAACGATAATGTTAAATCTTCGACCGTTGATTTACGGATAGAATTTGATAAACAAACAAATATCCTACCAAAAATCTCAACTTATTGTTTAATATTACATGACCAAATTATTACGTATAACCCATTTAACGGTGATGTCCGTAAAATGTAATTTTATTTTGTAAAACTTATTATATAACTAAAACCTTAAATAAATAAAAACAGATTTTTTGAAAAGTAAATAATTTTGTGTTTTTATTTCCAATAAATAAATAAATATTATACATATTTTACAAAAATTTTAAGTATTTGGGTTTATTATATTCTTCTTCTTCGCCGTCATCATTCAAAATCAGTGAATATTGAGGACCGTATGGCCCATCGTTTTGGTCAACTCCTCTATCCTTTTTTAAGCTTGGAGACATCGGTGAGTGACTCAAAGTCGGTAGTTATGGTGATGTGCGTGAATTGATACGCTATAATAAAATATTATGTTAATATTTATAAATAATAATAAAAATGTTATGCTTACGTCAACCGAATCCGTTGAACTTGGTCTCATAATCGATTAATGAATACTTTGTTCTAGATTTATTAATCGCATTAGGTTTCTGTGGTTAAGTATGATCCGACATCCGTCTTGAGTTTTCGATTCTAAAATAAGCACGTTCTCGTCCTTGAATACCATACTGGAAAGCGTAGTGGTATCGGTACATAGAAATATTTTTCTTTTATATGTCGGGGCGTCAAGGAGGTAAGACAGTAAATCGCCTATCATATGATATATACTTTGTAAAAATTCTGTTGTGATGAGAATATGGCGAGCCAGCGTTATTATTAGGATAATGATAGCATGATGTTGTACTGGGTCAAGTCCTACATACAGAAACTTACGACCTGCAAAATCTATTGTGAACGACGTAGAATCGATGAGTTCAACCGGTGGTGATGGTGCTATGTAGATGAACTTCTTCGCAGCGTTCATATCGGCCATAGTGAAAATTATTTTTTATATTTATATGAAAAAATAATACAAGTCAAAATTCGTTCTTGAACCAATCGCTAAAGTCTGCCTGGGAAGGTCTTTATACGANATAATTCAAAAGCGTACTAAATAGTGGACGTGCAGTACTGTCTTATATATCCGTCACCGAGTATATAGAGAGGGTACTGTTATGCTGAAAGAAATATTGTGCAATAGTCTTTCAGTATCTAATGACTTTTGACGACCGATGTACAACACTTACTCGTTATAGGCGATATAAGTATTTAGAATGCTATTAAAAGACTATGGATCTAAATTGGAAAGTGCTATTATGTATCGGGTTTAATAACAAATATATGCGACTTTTGACGACCGATATATAACACTTAGTCGTTATATGCGATCAGAGTTGTTCGGAAACGATTTTCCCTTTACGTACTCGATAATAATTATGTAGTGTATNGGTTAACTATATCTATCGTTGGGTATACATAAGTAATATTATTATTTAATATTATTTTATTTTGACGACCGATGTACAACACTTACTCGTTATACGTTATCGAAGTATTTGGAATGCTATTAAAGGTGAGGGAACTGAATATTGGTTAATAACAGTTTGGGCAATAGTCTATTAGTATAAAATAACTTTTGACGACCGATGTACTACGGCGACATAAATTGTAAACTTATAAGAATAATTCGTAACTCGTACGATACATCGTATTATAATGGTAATAGGTAATACTTATAATATATGTGTGTACTTATAGTGACGACGAAAAAAAAATAATAATACGAAAAAAATAAAAAAATAAATAATATTCTTTCGCCGACGGTATCAACTATAGATAAAGGTATTCTTATAAAATATATAATTTCGTGTATACAGAATTATTAATTATCGGTTCTACGATTACTAATATTTTCGCGGCGGCGGGTATGTGTGTGTGTGTGTGTGTGTGTGTAGGTATATAGGAATAGTATAGGTATATTATTTGTATGTATATATAGTGGTAGGTAGGTCCACGTATAGGTACCTCGTGGCGGTGGGTAGGGGTAGCGGCGGGTGGCGACGGCTTCGCGTCAGCGATCCACATATAGGTACGTAGAAAGGATTTCGACGAAAAAAAAAATAAATAAAAAGTAATAGTAGGGAGGGTTAGGTTATGTTAGGTCGTCTACTTGGTGGATGAATAAGAAAAAAAAAAGGGGGATGGTGGCACATGGCTCATGCTCTTGCTCATGCTCATGCTCTTGCTCTTGCTCGTGCTCATGCTCATGCTCATAAGTTAGAACTCTCATTTTCATACTACTCTCATCAAATAATGTTTTTAACTATTGTAGTATGAAATATCAAAATAATATGTTTAACGAATTCTCTAAAATTCTGAATCATATTAAAAATAATGTAAAATATCCCTTGTAAGACTAATAATAATTTAATCAAACACTTAAACAATAGAACTAAAAACTCAAAAAATATCCCCCTTTTTTAAAAAATGCTGGAATATAAAATTAAATGTTACTGTAATAAATTGTATATAGGCAAGAGAAATACACATTTTGAAATAATATATAAAGAACATAATTCTGAAATGAAATAAAAACAGACTCTACCTATGTCAAACTTTGCTTAACATATTTTAAAAAATAATAAGAATTGCATATATACAATGAAATAAAGAAAAAATATTTTTAATAATATTTTAAATGTACAAACTGATTTTAAAAATAATATATTATATTAATACACTTAAGATAATAAAGAACACAACCTATTAAGATATGGACTGCATATTGATAATATTTTGTGTCGCCAATATAAACATAGGGCAATCGTGGACAAAACACTAATGATTTTTCTATTCCAAGAAAAAATTACAATTGATTAATGGTAAGTACTTAAAATAGGATACTCATACAACTGCAATAAAAATTAGATAAGTTTTCTACAAATTCAAAACCCTAAGGAATATCTTACTGACAAATACTATGAAAACAGTTTATTTATGCACTGGCACAATCAATAATCACTTATAGAATCTCAACTTGTGGAGAAGCTTATAATATACAGGTAAAAAAACTTTCATGGACATAAAATTACCTTCTTGGAATAGCCTTCAAACTGCAATATTTCAAATACTGATATTGAATGTAAACACTTTAATTTATTCACACTTAAAAAACTTAATATAAAAAGAAGTTTTATGTAAATTGTCCTTCTATAATTATAAAAAATTAAGTTTCAATCAAAGTTATAGTACTCACCAAATTTTAAATATCACATTTAAAATGTTTAAATATAATAATGATTTCAGTAAACGAAATCTCTATTATATCAATATATGGTGTTGTAATTTGCTTTGTATTAACATTAAAAGTTTTGATAACATTATCATGTATAAGAAATGTGTTATTTAGAAAATGACAATGTATCAAATTTGATAGAAAATAAAAAATTAGTTTTCTTTAAAAAATTATTAAGAATATTTAATTTGTATTTTGTATTAAAATTTAATTTAATACCACATTGTTATATTTTTATGTTTATTTTCATCTATATTTGTTTTTAAATTTATAAACGCTGATGATAAGTATGTATTATACATTTAAGAAACATCAATAATTACTGTCTCTCCCTAAGCACGGGTAATTAGAGACAAATTGTTTCCCTTTTTATTACTATTATTATTATTAAATTGTAATTATTATAAAATAAAAATAAATCTATAAATCTATTGAAAATTATTCAAGTTGCAGTTCAGAATTATAATTAATATGATAACTTTTTGATAGAGATTAATTCAGTTCTATTGCAAGTATAATATAAAATTTAAATATAACTTTTACAAATGATATAGTTTTAATACATGAAATTATTTAATTAGCATAGAATTTGTCTTTTGTATTGTATACATAGTATTTGTTGATAATACACATTCAGAGATATTAAATAGATAACTTATGTAAAACAACACAATAAAAAATTAAGAAATAACTGTTTATCACAAATTTCTGAATCAAAAGGGCAATCAAATATTTACATTTTAAGTCAATTGACTTTTATGTTAAAACACATATTTTCAAAAACTATCATGCCTTGTATCTGAAGTCATGAACACAAATTTTAAGAATAGTTTTAAAATTGAAATATGGTTTAGAGACAATATTACTCAAATTGAACTTCAGATGGACAAAACTTTAACTAACACTTTTCTTCGAGTTAAAGATACATATGAAGAAATTATTGAATACAATTCAATATTACCAATTGAAAATGAGGATCAAATTAATGAATTGGAGTGGAAGTTGTTAAAAAAGTATTTCGGAAGGTACAGCGTAAGTAATTTTAAGAATATATAGTAATGATATGTTCCCTATTGTAATAGATGTCTTAAAACTAATTGAAATATTGGGTAAGTAAATTTTAAGTATTTAAAAAACACTTTTTTAGTTATAAAATAATATTAAAAGTATATTATAATAATTTTGTTTAAAAATGATTAAATGTTTATAAATGAATAATAAAATTATGAAAAAATATAAGTCATTAAAATCATCCTTGTGATGATATTAGCTGGTTGAGATCTTCGGAAGTTTCGTGTTTGAAGTCACCAGCCGTGGCCGATTTTTGCTGCATCAGCGCCAATTGGTGCAGGCGGTTAGCAGCTTCCACATCGCGTTTACCGTGACCTTCGCTCGAAAAAAAAGGAAAAGATTTTCAAGTATATTTTAAAAATTTCTTCAGTTTTGTAATAAAATTTACCTCCCCAACACNCATTTACAAATGTTTCTGATGAGAATTAAGCAATGGCATAAAAAGTTAGCTGACTCAATCTTCTAATAATATTATAATAATAAGGAAAGGCTAATTCTACATAGAATAATTACAATTATTTGAATTTTTGACTTGATAATATGCATTTTTTATTTTTTTTTTTATACTTACAATACACAAATAACCTTTTAATTTGTATTCTTAATATATTCAACAAAAGACAAAATTATTTTATAGCTAGTAGAATTATGAAGATTTAAATGGATTATTTTTTTTCTTGGCAAATTTGTATGTATGTTGAAATATAATATCAAAATAATTGTTATACTTTGCTTTTATATAGCCAAATTTAATTATTATTACAATTATTTTAATTAACAGACAATTAAAAAATGGTTTTATGGTTAAATAAAAAAATTTAAAAAGTATATTAAATTTTACATTAGATTATATTTTACATTTACATTTATTACCAATTACATTCGTAGTGGTGTCTCAAATATACTTGAAAATTAACTTTGCAGTGGATTGCCTTCTATTTCTACCCCTAGGACTAACATTGATACTGCCCTAGTTTAATTTAAGGCTTCACTTATCAATTTGCTATATTTTGAGTCTGTCTAACTTAGTTATATTTGTAAATATTCTCAAATACTTTTTTATTATCTCCAATGTTTTAAAACATATTTTTACAAAAATATAAAGAATACGTGAGTACAATATTTTGAAATTGATATTAATGAAACATTTCCAAGATCATGAAATAATAAATGTGTCTGACAAAGTTGTTTAAATATCATTTATTTTTTTTTGCCATTACATATTGTGAAAATATGTGTAAAACGTACATATCATACAAAAAAACAGTTACTTTTCATATGCATACAATATTAATATGTTAGAGGATCATAATATAAATAAAGGGAAAATATAATTTTGCTGTGTGAGTAGGTACTTACTTGTCGTTCTCTTGTATGTAATCTTCAGATGGCAGCTGCGACAATCCTTCTTCCGGTTGTTGGTTGTAATCTATTCCATTCCATTGCTGCAGGACGTTGGTACCTTTCATGACCGGTTTACCGTGAACTACGCTCGAAAAAAAAGAGATTTTCAAGTATATTTTAAAAATTGGCACCGTTATGTAATACTATTTATATCCATAACGCATTTGGCATACTCTATGTACTCTATACATATTCAAATGCAATAAGTAGATAATTACAGTCTTTTCAAACTCATTATTTAAAACAAAATATTGGTGAAAATATGTGCAAATAGGTTCTCCGTATGTGCACGCTTTTCGATTAGCCTATTTCGATTTTTCTGAAATCCGCATTATAGGTCACCCAGCAATATATGTACTCAACATTTGGTCCCAAAAAACTTTTCATTTTCTGACTTTTTTAAATCCTGTTTTTATATCCCACTGTCGAATTTTTACCGATAATTCCCGCAATTTTATACCTTTGTATCTATATGTATAACATAAGTATTAAATATGATTTTCTTGTTGTTTTAAACTTTAAATACCACTTTCTACAATTTATTTACTTACCATTTTAATAATAAAAATATTTTTTTTTGAAAATAAAAAAAGTAACCACTTAGAAGTTAAATATTTTTAAACTCAGTCGTACATCTTTCGCTATCGAAAGTCGGAAGTTACGGGCATTTAGCGAAGTTTTTTTTATATTTTGAACATAAAATTGGTTTAGACGATTAGATTAAAGGAAAATTAAAGTAATTCATTAACTACGATACCATAATTAGTCCAGTTAAAAAAAAAAAAAATCAAATTGACTCCTTTTTTTTAAACTGAGCACCTACATTACTTTCTCGTGTTACTTATAACCTCAAACTTTTTTCCATAATCCTTTATTTTTCCTTCTTTTCTTTCTACTCTTCCCTAATACCCACTTTCTTTAATTAAAATTTTTATTCCACTACACTAAACTTCTTATATTCGCCAAAAATATGAAACTCTTCCTTAAAACAAATTCATTCCACTACTGCCAGAATCTACAATACGACCTGAATAGATTAGTGGTGAAAACCTAGGTCTCTTTTTCGACATTGTAAAATGTTCTGTAATAAATTTATCCGCCTCCGATCACCATAGTCCTCCTCTACGAAATCAACAAAATCCCTTTAGAGTCATTAGGTGACTCTATTCGTGACTTAGGATTTACTCTAATTCATACCCTTTCCCTTAATAAATACATACAAAAATTTGTTGAAAAGCCCTTAAGGTTTTTAGTTTTATCTTTCACTCCTCTCAACTTTTCAATCTAAAGTCAATTATGAAATACAAAAACGTATCATGCAAAGTAATTTATTAAATCACAATAGTAGTTGTTAAAGTTGTAATAAATTAATTTATTAATTTATCATAAAAAATAAAAATAAATAAAATAAAATAACTTTATCCACTTCTGGGTTTAGAACAGAATACAACATTTTATGCGTACATCAATCGTACGATCGCTATAATATTGTTAAAATGAGAAGTTAGTATGAGTCGTATTATTGTTAATGAGATGAGATCAATATTTTTGTGTCGTGTAGGCGTAAGGCGATTTAAAGCAATTAGGTTGAATTAATACAAAACCATTAAAAATAGAGGGATGGAGTTATAGTCCCGTAAGTACTTAAGGGGAAAAGACAAATAACAAACTAAAATGTAAATCATCCATTAATAGGTTCGTCTCGAAAAATTAATGTACATATTATATTATTTTTTCGATGACGAATACAGTCGGTAATCTCGTAAAAAATGCGGCGGGAATTCAGAGGAATGCGCGTGTAAGAAAAAATATCTAATAAAAAAGCGACGATGTCGGAGTGATGGACGGGGATGGGAAAAGTAAACTATAAACGCATATTTTAATAAAATTATCGGCGATTCAGTTCATTGCTGGACGGTGATTTTTTTATTATTCTATTTTAATTTTTTACGCGTAATACCTACTTACCTATACGATTTTCGTATAATAGATCCAACCTTATAAACTATATTAAAATATTATAATACACACAGAATCCGAGTTTGACAAAATAATAAGCGATATTATACCGTTTACCGTAATGTCTAATATTATTGATGAGTTATTGATAATATTTCACGGATACGACGAATTTAAAAATTAATCATTACATTCGAAATTTCCCCTCCATATTTCCCCTCCGGGAAAAACGAGAAAACCGGCAGACTGAAATATGCACAATATATTATTCTACCGGTGATTTAACCGCCGGATGGCGTTTTTTAATTGATTTTTGACCGCGGTACATCTATAAAATGTATAAAATACATATAAATTTTATGCTAACAGAATCTAAACAATCGATTTATAATTAACAATTAATATCATCTCTTATACACCCTAGTAGCAGTAGTAGAAATATTATTATATTGCCGTGTTAAAAAAAAATAATAATAATAATTTTGTTGACACCTCCCTTTGAAATCATTACCGTTTTTATAGCAGGTGTTTTTAATCGTGTACTAAAACTAAATTTTATTTCGCAATAATTGTTAAATACCTAGCGGTCGTAAAAAATATTTGATCTTTTCGGGCACTTTTTTACCAAGAGATTAATCTGCTTAAATAACTGACGATAATATTAATAATAACTGTTTCAAAATCGTCGAATATTCGAAATAAATAAAAAAACCAACTTACTTTTGACCGGAATAACAAGAATAACACAGGCAACGGTAATAAGAAAAACAAATACTGCTCCAGATGATGCCATCATGAATACGGTTGCTCGCGTTTGTTGAAGTGTTTGTATATCAACTTTGTAATCGGTTTTATCCTAAAAAATAAAATGCCAATTTATCGAAATCTTTAAATATTGTTTTTGGTGTATACAATCAAGAATCAAGAGAAATAGAAACAGAAAATAGACTCGTTACGGCGAAAATAAGAAATTTCCAAACGTATAAAAAAGTTAAATGTACCGTGTTCTCGGATGATTCAAGCGTGAGAAGATAGTTACTGATAATCGTGGAGTGCGACGGCACCGAGCATAAAAATCACAGACTGTCGGGGTCTAGAGTGCGGTTCACCATTTTATAGGCCCGGCAGCCGGCTCACCGTTGTCAGGCGGCTGCGGTGATGGTGGAGGGGGCGACAGCTAACCAATCAGAACCACGATAGCGGTTCAATGGTGGTATTTCGACTCGGATACAATGTAATACAATAACACGGAGGGAACGAGTCCGATCTGCCGCCTAAAAGCAGAGGGGGGATGACGGTTTACTTGGGAAAACGATACAGATCTAATGGCCAATACCAATGGAATTCGGTGTATGCACTATAAGTGAATATGCCGATTCTCCTGATTATCCAGTTTCATAGTAAAGTCAACAACTTTAACTTACTCGATTTGCTCAGAATTTATAGCAAATTACTTTAGTTGTGGAATTAGTTTTTATAATAAAATGCCACATTAAATATTATTTTTGGTATTGTTGGACATGTTTAAGCATTGGGATTCATATTTATAACACACCAGTATGATAATATAAATTTTGAAATATTTCGATTTCAGAAAAATAGAGAAGAAAAATTGCAAAAAAGTGGATGCCCCGGGTGAGGATTGAAATCACGACCTTACATTTATTGGACGTCCGCGCTACCAACTGTGGTACCGAGGCTGTGTTAATATTGGTCGCTTTAAGGCCTATTAACATTTTACGTTCACAATACTTGATGTAAATTGTTTAGAATTCATAAGTTATTAATACTAATTAGAAATTATTATATTATAATTATTTTTATACAGGTACCTTAGATTAGGGCAAATTTTGGATGGTTTTTTTTTTGTTATTGTTATCGATCATTTCTTTTAGTTGAGGTAAAAGAATCGCATTTTTTTTAAATACCTGAGTAGTTTTCTTAGTAATCTAGAAAACCATAGCAAAAACGGGAACGTTTACACGGAATAATCAGTTTTATAATTTTTGATTTACCAAAATACTTATTTTAATAAAAAAATTGCAAAAAACCTTTTTTGTTGTATCTAGTCGAAGAGTAATAAAACCATTTCTTGGTTTTTTTCTTCATAGTAGTTAATTTTGGCTATAAAATTTCATAATAAAATCTATTTCGATATTTTTATCGCGTCTACCTATTCACTAACATAATAATGTTCACCTAGGAGGTTAAATCGCACAGGCACCGTAAGTGTCGTGCCACACGGTAATTTAATCGCATACATACAACATATATATAGCTGGGTTTATTTTTATTTTTATACATTATGGTAATGGAATAGATTTCAGATTACTAGTTACTTTTGTCATACATTAGAAAAAATTATAGGTTTATATACTACAAAAATATTTTTTATACTGTGAATAAAAAATACAATAAATAGTAATATACAGTAAAATACTTTATTTGCATACTTACAACACTGTATTTATATTATTAATA